TTGTAGCGTGTATTTAGAACACGATTTGAAGTTTATTTTTCACAAAACAGTGAATGAAAGCATCTTCTTAGGAGTAAGCAACGAATAGGCATAAAAACATTCAAATGACTAGGTACTTTGTTCAGTGTTCGTCCAAGTCTAGATCAGTAGATGAGACTTTCTGATTAGCCTGCCTGTATATTAAAAGGTCAAAACTTGCTGGAGATAAGGCACGAAGTATTGTCCGTAAAAATAGCGTCTGTTATGTAATTTCTTCGTATAAAAGCAATATGAATCTTAGTTAGAATTTATGAGAAAATAAATACAAATTTGTCTTATCTTAACCATCTTTCCTCTATCACCATAAACATTTATTTTCACAGATTTGTTTTATAAATTTTTTCATCTTTATACACGACGATAGAATTACTCTTATTGTTTTGAAGCTGTAATAATTATTGCTTATGCCTTGTTTACTCAGTTGCATATCTTAATTCTTTAGTTTATTTGCAAAACAGTCAAATTATATTTTAAAATTTCTAGGCGATAGTTTGAGTGCTGAATATTTTTATATGTGTATATATTATCTTATTATATCTGCTTCTCAGTTTTAGATGTATGTGAATATGAACTGCCAAAAAATTTTCTTTATAATATACAATTTACACAAATGGTACTTAATTTCTTGCGTGCTCTTACTATACCTTTTAATATTAAGTATGAGAAGTCCTGTTTCTAACGGTACTCAGAAAAATTCGGTAAGTTTCTGCAGCTTCACTTTCTTTAGTATTTATCGCGCTGTTTATTTGGCTATAGATAATAGTCTGAAAATTTCATGTTTCTTTGAAAATATTTGAGAGCAATGAACTGTTGTAATACAAATTCTTATATTAACTGCTTCTGAAAAATGGTGTAGCTGCTGATTTCAAATTTATTTAAGCAATCTTGCTACTTTCCTAAATTGTATAACTTTTTCAACAATTCATGTAAAAAAAAAAAGATTTTTCATTAGAAGAGTACAATATACTATATTGTAGTGTTTAAAAGCCAAAAATTTTGGGGGAAACCTGAAAAAAGAACCTGTATATCAGGATTTGTAACGTAATTGTTTTTTCTAGGCTTTCTTCAAGCGATCAATGACCGAAATTTTTAATGATTACCGACGTTGTTTTTTACACCAAGTTTCCTCATTGAATAAACTAGAGGTAAGAAGCATTAATTAAAATTGTGAGAAA